TGAAAGTTGCTTTGAAGCTTCGAGGCTTCTAGCCCTACTGCTCCAATTGCCGCCGCTGCTGCTGCCGCTACTACTACTGCTACTACTACTGCTGCTACTACTACTACTACTACTACTACTACTACTGCGGCTACTGCTACTACTGCAGCTACTACTGTTCCTCGTGCTCCTGCTGATGCTATTGCTACTGCTACTGTTACTGCTGATACTACAGCGACGAACGACCATGACCACGACGACGACGACGACGACGACGTCGACGACCACGACGACGACCACTACCACGACGACGACGACGACGACAACGACGACCACGACGACGACGACCACTACCACGGCGACGACGACGACGACAACGACTACCACGACGACAACGACCACGACCACGACGACTACTACTGCGCAAAGCTATGTAGAAGACTGGAGTTTGCTGTACGGCTTCGCCTTTAGGGTTACGAGTTTTCGATTAAGTCTTGAAGGGTCGGGGTTAAGGCTTAAAAAGTGTGTCGGGGTTTAAAGTATAGAGCTGAAGCTTAGGCTTTCAGCTTTGAAGGTTGCAGGGCTTTGCGTTTGGGTTTGAGGGTCCAATGCAGCAGCCAAGGTACGACCACTACAAGCCGTGCCCCGTGACTGGCGGCTATCATACCTTCATCGTATCTGAAGTTGGATGGAAGCAGGAGTTTCATGCTTCTTATGAACTTGTGGTCATGGTTTCAGGTTGCACAGTCCGAAGTTTACTGCACGAGGTTTTAGGGGAGTAGTCTTGGGTTCCGGCCTCTCCGTCCTCCCTTTCCCAGCATGAGACTGACCCCTAACTCAGCAGTTTTCTGAGGCATATGGTATTGTCTGGTCGTGCTGATCGCACCTGAACAGAAAATCTCGGAACTTAGCCATCGTGCCTGCTGTTGTGTTCAGAGCAGGGGCATCTTGCTCCTGAGCCCCCAGCCAACCCCCTGGACCGTAAACTCCTGAACCCTAAACTCACACCTCCCGATGCTGGGGCACTAGGGTGCCTGTGGCAGATGCCAAACACACCCCAGCAAACGCAGCTGAGGTAACACAGGATTGAGATCAGTGTTTTTTTGTTAAGAGTTCGTTGAATGAAGGTGACTATGAGGGTTCAATTTCGGGCCTGAGAATTTGACTGGGGCTTGTGGGTAAGGCCTCCATAACAAACCTTTCATGGCTGTGGCTTTCGTAAGCCTTGTTCCTTGAACCCATATGGGTGGCGGGAAATCAGGGTGTGTAGAGTCGGTTTAGGGTTTAGGGTTAAGGGTTGTAGAGTGTAAGGTTGGTGCCAACACCGTCCTTGGTCCGAGCTATTGTGTCCATCTCCAACTGAGCTTCTGATTTGCTTTACGAGCTCTTGAACAGAAGAACCGTTCGATTGTCTGCTACGTGGACCCTAAAGAACCTACGTTTTAGGGCTCCTTATTATGATTTCCTAATATCTGTCCTTAAACTTAAAGAGGTATGTTATTCAGGGTCCAGGTAGTGAGAGGATATTCCTGACTCGCGACCTTTGTGTCCCCGAGCTTTCTCGGGCCCCCTTTGCTGAGCAGAGGTGCTGACATCCCCCAGAAACCCCTACGCCCCAAACTTCATGATCCCAAGCCCCAAAAGAGACATAAAAGATAGTAACTCTGAGCCACCTACACCCCTAAGCTTCTAAACCCTAAGGCCACGCAACCCCAAACCTTAAGCCCCCAACCCTTGGCAATGAACAGGTACGTTGAGGCTGGCCGGCTGGACGATCCGGCAATTCTTCATCAACTGGTCCCCCAGGCCAACCTGAACTTCGGAGCTTAAGAGGTTTGAGGGTATTTGGGCTTTAATGCCAGGGTTTCGGGTATAGAGTTTTGGGGTTTTAGGCCTTGGGGTTCGAAGTTTGATGTTTAGGGTTTAGACATGTCTGCTTAGAGTTGATGTACTATAGGGGCCTAAACAATTACCAACACTATCTTGGGGGCTCTCTATCATAATCATAGTATAATCTACCCCGAAACCCTATTCTAATTATATACTAAGGCCTCTACATTAACTACATGTAGACTCCTGATCAAGAAACCTCCAGTTTGAGAGAGCGTGGAGAGTATTAGCCTTAACTATTGCTAGACCACATACCAATAGTTTCATAGGCTGATTGCAATCACCCTAAGCCCTAAACAGACCACGGGGCTCAAGCAGAAAGCCGAAACCCCTCCTCAAAACCCTGCACATTAAACCCTAAATCCTAAACCCTTATAAACCCTAAATCCTAAACCATAAACCGTGAATCATCTGCCTTTTTCTGGTCCCTCTTTTTGTCGGAGAGTAGGCGTTCCGCTGGTCCCGTTTTCCAAACCAGGAGTGGGCCTGGATTACAGGTACCCAGAGACTCCACTACCCCTTGATTGAGGAATATACCTTAAATCATATTAGGGATCCTACTATAACGTAAGGTATATTCCTGAATTAAGGCGTATTGGAGTCTCTAGGTACAGGGTTTAGGGTTCAGGGTCTAGAAGTTACTTGAAGGGTTCTGGGTCTTACGAAACAAGGCTATACTTTTGTGTAACTATACTTTTACACTGTAGCGAACTATACCCTAAGGGTCCATGCGCCCAAATAGTATATACATTGGCCCCAAAGTACCTATATAGGGACTACATTAAGGCCAAAGTATATACTATTTCGACACTGTAGCAAATTTTTGCACCAGCTAGCTGACGCACAACCTTACGTGCCAGGCCTTAAGGTCCACCAAGTCTCTTTGGAGGAGCGGCTTTGGGTTTGGTTTGGGTTTAGGGCTTAGGGTTTGGAGTTTAGGGTTTAGGGTTTATATAGGGTTTAGGGGTTTCAGTTTAGGGTTTCGGGTTTAGGGTTTAGGGTGGCGGGTGAGGGTCCGGTGAGGGTTCAAGGTTTTGGTGTCGGCTTTGTGTCTGAGGG